CTGGCCTCCAGTGCGGGGGTCCTTCTGCCTCAGCCACCCGGTTAGCTGGGACGAAAAGGGTGCGCCCTCTGCACCTGGCTTACCAGGTTCCCTGCTGAACAGTGCCCCACCCCACCCCCAGCCTAAAACAACAGAAACAAGATGCAGTCAAATGGGTCACCATGCAAACCTCGCTGTGTAGATCGCAGTGGTGCCTGCAGGGACTTGCACCCACCAGGAGCCGCAAACATTTTCCCCACCATCTGAAATGAGGACACCTGGGTTAGTGTGGACACCACCAAGGGGAGTCTGAGTCTCATGGCTGTAGGTTGTCTGTGCGTCAGATCTTAGGTGTCCAGGATGCCCAGCAGTGGCACTCCTGGATGGGGCCCTGTGAGCTTGATTTTCGGTTTCCTAAGGGGCCGTCCAGTCACCTGGCTTTAGCTAACACCAGGAGCCAGGCCCCAGGCCGGCCCTAGACTGGGCTGCAGAGTGGAGAGGAGCTTACTGCCCACTGGCTTTGTGGCTCACGATTCCCGCTCCACAGCATGAAGGGCAGAGTCCTGAGTCTCCTCAGGCTGATCGCACCAGGCAAGGCCAGCAAGGAGGAGCTGGGTGCTGTTATTGATACCCTGGGTTCAAACCCTGCCTTTGCCACTTACTAGCTACAATGATCCAAGCACACTGCCAGACTTCTTTGGACCTTGTTTTTACTGTCTCCAAAATGGGCATACCAAGCCGGCCATGGTGGTGCATTCCTGTAACCCCAGGACTCTGGGAGGCGGAAGCAACTTATACCTTGTCTCAAAAGTAAAAATGTTGGCTGTGTTCCCTTTTAGTAGCTCACTCTTATAGAAGGCATTTGTTTCTTTTACTTGGTCCAAACTCTGCAGAGTCTGTTTCTTTCCTACCTTTAGTAAACGTAAAACTTTACTATTGTTAAAAAAAAAAAAGGTAAAAATATAAAAAGACCTGGTGGGGGGTGGCTAAATATGATGGCCCTGGGTTCAGTCCTCAGGGCCACTAAGTAAACAAAATGGAATACCAATAGTACCTCTCTCCCAGGGCAGTTATGATGCTTAAATAAGTTAGGAGCCTGGGGCAGCGCCTGGAATGTGGTGACTACAGTTACTCTGCTGTGCCAGGTGCTGCACTCGGCCCAGGAGAGGCAGAGGGAACAGAACAGACACAGCCCTCTTTTGGAGCATCCCTGGAGATAGGAGAGGGACACTGTGCTCTGATATCATGGGGCAGAGGCAGGGCAGCCCAGGCTGGTCAGGGAAGCCTTAGGGAGGTGGCACACGAACTGGGTCTGAGGAGAGAGTGGCAGATATTAAGAGGGCGACCAGTGAAAAGTGCTCCAGAGGGGCCGGGGATATAGCTCAGTGGTGTAAGCACCCGCCTGGCAAGTGCAAGGTCCTGAGTTCGATCCCTGGTACTGCCAAAAATAAAAAATAAAAAAAGGTGCTCCAGGTGGAAGGAGCCATGTGTGCAAAGGTCCTACGGCAGAGAATCGAGGAAGAGCTAAAAGGAACAGAGCAGAGAACAAGAGAGTGGAGGCTGCAGAGGAAAAGCCATCTTGGGGTTTCAGTCTGTATTCGAAAAGCAACAGGGGCCGTGGAGCCCTGTGTGAGCAGAGAGTTCCTCTTGTTTAGAGCAAGGGAGGCCTTCATTTCTTAATACTAGGTGTGGGCAACACCAAGATCTGTAGCTTTTGCTCTTACATTTTACAGAATGTGATTTGCAGTCACATGAGGAAATCGGCCTTTATTTTATTTATTTACTTATTTTTTTAGGTGGAACCAGGGATTGAACTCAGGCCCTTGCGCTTGCAAGGGAAGCGCTTATTCTACTGAGCCATCTCCCCAGCCCTGGGCTTTATCGTGTCTGCAGCCCAATTGACTCTCAAATTCTTTACAGATTTCTTAGGTTGTTTTGCACTAGAAAATCAAAGCTTTGTTTTCTAGACAAGGTAAGCTTAAGGAGACAGAATGGTTCCCCTCCAGATATAGCAAGCTTAAAGCAAGTGCCCAGTTCTTGTGCCCCCCTGACCTGTGTTGTCCACCTAATGATATTCAGAAGGCTTTTGGCCTGCCTAGGCCTCGGTAGGTGGCTTTTGACCTATGTAGGCCGCCGTAGAGCTGCCATAGAGCTCACGAGGGGAGGAATCTTTGCCTTATCCAGTCTCTATCACTGGAAACTTGCTAGTTGTCTGATTATGTTTGTTGGCTACTCTTGGTTGGTTGAGTGTAAGTTCTTCCTTCCTTTGGTCTCACCATTCGTAAGAAACAGCTTTGATTTCACTTAGATCTGCAAATCAGTCCTGGCTTAGGACTCCTGTGACACCTAACTGGTTTTTGCTTGCTCAGGAGTGATTCAGTCCTAGTCTCCAGTTTAATTTACTTTAATCTTTTTTTTTTTTTTTTTTTTTTTTTTTGTGGTGGGGGCTTCCTTTGGCGATTGAATCCAAGGCCTTTCCACTGAGCTACATTCCCAGACCTATTAAAAAAAATTGGGGAGGGGGGCATGCTGGGGAGCTAGCACAGTAGAATAAGTGCCTGCCTGGCAAGTGCAAGGTCCAGAGTTCAATCCCTGGTACTGGAAAAAAAAAAATTCTACATTTTGAAACCAGTTCTTGCTAAATTGCTCAGGCTGGCTTTGAATTTACAGTCCTCCTGCCTCAGCCTCCCGGAGTGCTAGGATTGAAGACATGCACTACCACCCTGGGCTTTAATTCACTTTAACAAACATAAATATGCCTTCAATGGCTCCAACTGATTCCCTGGAAACAGAGATTTCCAAAGCCTGGGCCTTCTAGATTTTCTCCCCGATAGTTCTCCTGGGTTTGATACCGCTGCTCTGGTCTTTGAAGGCCCTGGGGGCACATCTCTGCACTCCATTCCTGGAAAGCACTCACGTGCTCGAGTCCCATGGGTGCAGGGGACAGCAAGATGTGGTTTCACGGTCGTCACACAGACAGCAGGAACCAGAATCTTCTGAGAATTGTTTGCTCCTCTCTGAAGCAAGGCTGGCTGATCAAGGCCTGCACACACCCTGGGAGTCCCTTCCTCTCACACAGAGCCTGGAGCTGTCACCAGTATCACCCACCGCGGACCTGCCTACTGCCGCTGGGGCTCACATCCAGAGTTTCTCCCACTGTGGGCCCTGAGCCTTATGGTATAGCTCCTACGTGCTAGCACAGACTCGAGGTGCAGGGGATGTGAAGTGTGTGCGTCCTGAGGTTGTGCAGGTCCCGTGGCCACTGAACCCTGCATGCGGGGTGAAAGAGAACACCAGTGACACCTGCACACCAGTGCCTGCTGCCACGGCCTACCACTGCTTGATGCGTTGAAACGGAACCTTGAATTTCACAGAAGGGCGGTGTGTCGCCAGACACTGCCAAGCTGGGTGGCAGACCAGGCGGCCTTGCCTTCACTCACCCATGCATAGGCTTTGGCTCCCACAGGGCTCTGGTCCTGGCTTCTTCGAAACCTGTGAAAGGAGGAGAAGCCTGGGCTTTCAGGCTGTGACTTCCCCACGTGGGGCCTCAGTTTCCCCGTCTGGGTTGTATCCTTTTCTGTAGCTTCTTCATGAGGTTAAAATTCTGCCCTGCCCACCACCTTGGAAAACAATGTGCGGGAGGCGAGGCCTGGCCTTCTCTGTGGCCCTAAGCCCACGTCTGGTGCAAAGCCACGGGGCTGACCTAAGGTGACCCCACCATGCTCCCCATTGCTGTGCTCTGCCTGGGCCGTGCAGCCAGCCAACCATCATTGTCACCACAAGTTCATTTCTCCTGGGAAGATTCTCCAGATGTTGCCCCTCCCACCTGTTCACCCCAGGGTGACATCTACTGCACTGTGTCACAACACTCTGTCTACTTGTTTACTCACTGTCCTCCCCAGTTGAGGAACAGCCACAGGAGGGCAAGAGCCCAGCTAGTTTAGGTGGTGCAATAATTCCAGCATTGCGAGAGGCCGAGGCAGGAGGGTCACTGCAAATTCCGAGGCCAGCCTGGGCTACCTAGTGAGTTCAAGGCCACCGTGAGCTACATAGTGAGACCCTGTCTCAAAAACAAAACCCAACAAATAAAAAGCCCCCAGAGCTGTTGGCTTTGTGCTATCAGTGTACCCAGACTGGGCATCAGAGCTGACTGGGTGAACCAGTGAAGAAGGAGAAACAAGGTAAACAGGTCCCGGCCAAACATGTGGCCCCAGGCCTGCAAACCCCACTACTTGGGAGGCTGAGGCTGGAGGATCACAAGTTCAAAGCAAACCTGGGCAACACAGAGAGACCCTAACCCAAGATAAAACCTAAAGAGACCTGGTGGGCTGTAAGCCTGCAGTTTCAGCTCTTGGGAAGCTGAGACTAAAAGATGGTTTTGAGTTCAAGGCCAGCCTGAGCCACACAGCGAGACTGTTTCATATCTAAATAAAGCTGGGGATGTAGCTCGGCAGTGCTGCGTTTGCCTACCATACACAAGGCCCTCCCTGGGTTCTATCCCCATTGCCACAAATGAACCGATGAGCAAGCAGGTCTTGCCCTGTGGGATTTGTAATCCATCTCCCCAGGGAGGCTCTGATTGCTGTTTAAAGGACCTCTGGTTGAACCCCAAAAAGCAAAGACACTGGATTTGCAAAGCCCTGCAAGTCTATGTTGTGTCTTCCAATCGGGCCCCTGTCCTTGCCTTGTCATGGTTGAGATGGGAGGGCCAGCCTCTGTTTCTCTTTTCACTGCCTTCCAGGGCGGGTCCCCTGCTGCCCCGAGGTCATACTCGGAGGGTTTATGGCCTGGCCTTCTGGGTGGATCCACCCTAACCAGGGTTCCTCCCCAGAAGGTTTCCATATGGTTTTTGGTGTTTTCATGATTAAAGAAGAATCACCCCACAGGTCCCTATCACACTGTCACCCAGTCTTGATCAACACCATCACCCAAGCTGTCACAAACAAGGGAGTTTGAGCCGTCACGTGGCCCAGGCTGAGTAACCACATTCTCGCTTCCTTCTTCCACACAGTGCCGTTGGGGGTTGGCAGGTTCTGAGACACGGCAGGGGGTGCCACACAGTGCCAGGCAGAGTGGGCTGGGGCCTTGTCACCAAAGCAAAGAAGTCTCTGCTAGGCCGGGAGGCAGCTGTCCCATGCTCTGCTGAGCACGGTAAGTGCTGCTTTGCAAATACCACGGGGAGTGGCTAGGGACCTAAGGGACCAGGGGACCAGGGGACCTGCCTACCAGCTGCTGGGGGCCCAGGGCAGGACCTCCGGGCACCGCCTGAGCAGCAGCCCCTTCCATGAGTGGACCAAAATCCATGGTCTTCCTGGAGTCTGTGGCTTTATCAGGCCTCTTCCGGTTCCTGATCCCTCAGTCTGCCCTCTCCGCTGGCTTCCCTGCAGCTGCCGGGATGGGGCATTCCAAATGGGAACTGCGGGAGGTTGGAGGAGGCCAGGGCTTTTCCTTGGCTACCACCCCACCCCTCCATCTCTTGGGTGGGAAACTGAACCCCAGAGAGGTGACGAGAGTTGCTTAGGGACAGAACTGAGATTTAGTCTGGAGGGGCCCGAGACGAGGAGCCACTTGGGCCTGTCCTGAAGCTGCAGGTTCCACAGCCGTGGAAACGGCATTCCCCCACACTTCCGTGAGACCGAGGAAGTGGCGCGTGTCCACGGCCACTCAGTAAGGTATTAGAATTATGATACTGTAGTTAGCAAGAGAGAATATGGTAAAAATAAGCTTTAGGACACTCTTGTTAATTTATATTTGGGCTACTTTGGGGCAGTAAACGAGAATGATAAAGGCTAAAGCTGCTTTCCCCTCTGTGGGCCCTGGGAAACACACACACAGACACACACACTCACATGCACTCATATGCACACACAATATATACTCTCATGCACACACACACACACACACACACACACACGCATGCACACACTTGCGCCACAAAGCTCAGGCTCTTGTACCTCGAATTCTCTCTCTCCCTGACCTCTCTCCTCCTTCTTTACCCATCCCTGACTTGGAGCCCCCCCAGGGCTGGGCCTGGCAGTGAGCTCAGGAGGTGTCTCCCTGGGGCTGCCCAGAGCCACACCCTGCACTGGGGATGGGGATGTCCCCCAGCAGCTGGGAGAGGGGAAGCCCTGACAGCTGGAGGGCCAGGCAGAGCAGGGCCCCCTGGGGGCTGGGAGAGGGCTCAGCCCCATGGTAATGGGCAGGCCCCTTTCTGCAGGTGAGATAACTGAGGCCTGGAGGACAGGAGCAGCTCTCCACTTGGGACAGGGAGGCCACCTGTAGGAGATGGAGAGCTTGGAGCTGACCTCTGGCTGCAGGGCACTTGTGACCATAGTGTCTGGGCCTGGCTCTTGGCTCCCTATGCTGGGCTGGAGCTGGAAGGCAGCAGAGGGCTCAGCAGGCAGATGGGATGGCTGGTGTGTGTGTGTGTGTGTGTGTGTGTGTGTGTGTGTGTGTGTGTGTGGTGTGTGCACGTACATGCTTGTCCATCTGAATGTCTACACCAGTGTCTTCAGAAAGCTGTCCCCTCTTAAAATGTAAGCGGGCAGAGTTCCCATGTTCATTTGTGCACAATACCTCACATCTGAATTCAAAGCACTCCCTGTCTGTGGCCTCTCGAAGGGCCCCACAGTGATGGAACACAGTTCCAGAGCATTCCGTGGAGCTTGAACGGCCCAGGTCTGGGTGGGAATTAGGAAATGTGTCTACAGAGGCACTTTGAGAGGGTGGGGGCTGATGATGGGGGTTCAGTGTCAGTTGACAAACATGGCAGGAAAGTCTGGAGACGGAGGTACCGAGTCGCCCAGCAGGCTGCCCTGGCTGGCCAGGCACTCGGTGAATCCAGGCAAAGCCAGGCCTGTTGCTGCGGGGGCCCCACTGAGTTTCTGTCTTCCAAATGCCTGAAATCTGGCGGGGATGGCATAGGACAGAAAGCCACAGAAATCTGTGCACAACTGGGACAAGTGACACTGGAGGTGCATGCGCGGAAGTGCCCACATGTGTCCTTCTGTCCACTGAGTCTTGGGCATGTGGCACAGTCAGTAAGACAGCGTGTGTTGTCCTCTTGGCATGGGAATGGAGTTCTAGAAAGCAAATAGTAGAAAAGGTTTAAACAATGGAAGGGAGCCAGTTGTGGTGGCACCAGCCTGTAATTTTAGCTACTCAGGAAGCTGAGGCAGGAGGATCACAGGTATGAGTCCAGTCTGGGCAACTTAGCGAGACCCTATCTCAAAATAAAGTAAAAAGGGTGGGGCATAGCTCAGTGATAGAGCACTTGGTGTAAGACCTGGGGTTCAATCCCAGCCCAAGGAGGGAGGGGAGATGCGAACTGGGCGGGAGGCAGTCCTGGACACTTCTAGGAGGAGGGAGTACTGGCTCTGAAGTGGACGCAGCCTTCTTTACAGCAGCAGAGGGGCTGCAGCTGGGGTGACCTCTGCAAGGAGACTGTGGGATCCAACCTCTGCTTCCTGTCTTCCTGGCCGTGTAGCTAGAGTCCAAGTGGGCCTCAGTGCCCCTCCCCGCTTTGCATGGTGTTAGTAACGGTTCCCAGCCCTTTGAGGGGTGAACACCTCATGTACAGGACACAGAGCTGGGCCCGGCAGGCTGTCTGCACTCAGTAGGTGTGGATCCCAAGCAGGAGGAGGCAGGGGCGGTGGGCTGCACTTGAGGTGCCCCACAAGGTCAGCTGTGTCACAGCCCCTCCTAGGGGACAGAGTCCCTGGCCCTAAATGCAGAGTGAGGGCAGCAGCTGGCATTCACTGGGTGCTTGTTGTGTGCTAAAGTGTCTACCCACCCCACCCACCCCACCCACCCTACCCACCCTGCCGACCCCACCAGAGCGCCCAGCTACGGTCTGCTCCCCACTTAGCGGCGGTTAGATTGGAATTTTCTCTGCAGCAGAAGCCTTACTCTGAAGTTCGGGTCTTTCTCCAGGCGGCAACTGTATGATAACGTAGGCTCCCTGCCGCATCCCGCGTAGGCACGCTGCGCCAGGCCGCCCCGCTGCCCAGCATGTCCGGGCATCTTTGCTGCAGGATATTTTCACGTTGCTCTAAGGCTGGGGCGCAGCCGCACCGCCAATCAGCAGCATGTGCGTTCGGGTTGTGCTCCCTAAGGTCTCAGAGTTGCCCCAGGCCATACAGCTCCTCAGGGGCAGGGCTGGAACAGAAGTGGTTTGAAGGAGACCCCCAGTCAGACCTGCAGAGTCGCTCAGAGGCTACCTCTGTCCTACCTGATGGGTCTGTGCTTTCCTTTAACCCAAACCCTGAGAACCGCAGGCCTTTGGGTTCTAAGGTTCTAAAACTTTGCATGCTGGGCTTTGGGTCCCAGGGGCGTCATTCCTTTTGTTCTTTATGTTGAGACAAATTCTCCTCAGTTGCCCACACTAGAGTAGTCTGGAGCTTGCAATCCTCCTGCCTCAGCCTCCCAGGTAATTGGGTTTTACCATGCCTGGCCCTAAAGGTTTATTTATTTACTTATATATTTGTTTCTTTATTGTGATTCTGAGGATTGAAGCTAGGGTCTTTACCCTGAGCTATGTCCACAACCTTTTTTTTTGGCAGGGAGAGGATCAGAAATCAAACTTATGACCTGGTGCTTGCCAGGCAGGCGCTGTGCTGCTGAGCTACATCCCTGGCCCCCACATCTACAACCCTTTAAAATTGTTTTTCTTCTCTTTTAATTTTTTTTTAATGTATTTGGCACAAGGTCTCACTATGCAGCTCAAAATTGTAGTGATCCTCCTGTTTTCAGCCTCCCTAGCCTCTGGGACTACAGGCGTGCACACCATGCCTGGTCTCAGTGGCCCGCACGGCCCTGGAGAATGAACCTGGGTCCCTGAGCCAAGCAGGCGCTTAGACCGCTGAGCTATCTTGCCAGCCCCCCAAATTTCCTTTTTTGAGACAGGATCTCACTAGGTTGCTAAATTGCACAGGCTGAGTTCAAATTAACAAATCTTCCTGCTTCAGCCTCCAAGAGTACTGAGATTACAGATACGGGCTTTATTTATAATTCTTATTATATTGGTGCATACGGGCTTTATTTATAATTCTTATTATATTGGTGCATCTTAGATATGCACAGTGATATTATTCGGCATGCGGAATTTGTACCTGTACATTGTAGGAGACACTTCCTGGACCTCATCTCAGTCCAAGAAGCCAATATTTGTAATCCCAAAGTTACGTTATTGGAATCCCATCAAGTTGATTCCAATCTACCACTTACAACGCAACCCACGGCGAAAATAAAGACACTAAATTATATTTGCAATCATCGGGGAGTCAAGGGGCTCTAAGTCCATGAAGATGGCTTTCCGGAACCAAGAGAGCCACCCAGGGTCTCACCCGGTTTTTGTTCAGTGGGGGAGTGGCTTGAGGAGGATGGACTGAGAATTGTGGGAGGTAGGTGATGCTTGTGAGCTGAGCTAGGTGGGTGGCCTACGTGTACCCAAGGCCAGCTGACAAACAGAAGTCCCAGCCAGCTCTGTACATAGGAAATAGGGCCAGGCTCAGTCAAAATGGAGACAGTCGCTCTTCTTTCAAGGAGAGCTGCTCAGGTGGTCCTCCGCAGTACATGAGATACACTGCTTTCCCCCCCATTCCTTTCTCAACCGCTCCTTAGTTACAAAAGCGTAGTTTTTATTTTTTCCTTCTGTTCCTTTTTTCTTGTCCTTTCCTTCCTTTCCCCCACCCCTTCGTTTCTTCCCACATCCTAATATTTATGAGACATTTTCATCCTTATTGACACTTTCAGTTTCTCCAGAGAAACCATATGATACAGGAACACGTGACCGATTTATTTCACCTAAGAGCACAGCCTTCAGGTGCATCTATTTAGCTAGAAATGTCATGAGCATATCCTTCTTGATGGTACAGTAGTACTCCACCATCTTTATCCATTCGTTGGTTAATGGGCCTCTGAGCTGTTTCCAAGATTTAGCTATTATAATGCGGCGGGCTTTATTCTTTGAGAGGCCGGGGCTGCTGGCTGCAGGCCAAGGTGTCCAGAGCTGGGTGTGGCCTGGGTTCCAGCCACCTTCCTCTCTGCAGCTTGGGTGTGGGCTGGACAGAAGCAACTGATTTTCGGGTGAGAGACAGGAAACGGCCTGGCTCTGCCCTCCTCATGAGCCCGCCTCAAGATAACCAGGACGCAGGTCCTCACTGGCTCTGAGCCAGGCAGGGAGAGAGGTGGGCGGACCCGGAAGTGATGCAATCCCGTGAGCCTCAGTTTCCCGATCTCTTGGGGGCCCCCAAGGCCAGGGCTCCGCCCCCCGCTGCAGGCGGCGGGGTGTGTGAATCCCCTGCTGCAGCGCAGCACCTTGACTCTGGCGGCTCTCAAAGTCCTGCTCTTCCCTCCTGGCCGCAGGCATCCTCGCTGTACTTCTGCCAGCTTTGCTGTGTGGACCCACTCGAAGCCCAGCGACAGCGGGGGCTAGGTAGCGGGGGAGGGGTACAGTGTTCCTGTGGGTCTGAGGCTGATGGCTTTCCCGGGGACGAGGGACTTGCAGTAAGGACGCTGGAAACATCTGGGAAGGTGGTGTCCCTAGACAGATCCAGGTGGGAGATTTGGGATCTCCAGGTGCCGCAGTTTATGCTCTCGCAGGCCCCTGTGGCTTCCCTGATCATCCACGGTGGGGGTAAGCCCGAAGCATCTCTGGGCATCTTCCCTTTGCTGTGTCCTCCACCTGCAGCTCCAAAGAGGCACCCAGGTAAACCAGCTCTGCCGGAGCCAGAGCCAGGCGCCTCCTGTGTGGTGGCTCGGTTGAGTCTCACACCCATGCTTTGCAGCAATACCCCCCATTTTACAGATGAGAAAACTGAGGCTCTGAGCAGATGGAGCAGCCTGCTCAGGAGCACATGACAGAACATGGCTTGGAGGGCTGCAGAGTTCAGGTCTGTACTCTCTCCTTGCGCAGGTGGCGGGCAGTCCCCAGTCCCTTGCTGCTGCTGGCCTGTAGAAGGTAGGACCAACCCCGCAAAGTGCCCCACTGCACCCCAGGAGCCCAAGGGCAGGTCTCTACGATTTTTGCCTCCCACCCCCACCCCTTGCTGTACGGGAAGTGGCTGAGCCTGCGCTGCCAGGAACCCTGTGGCTGGGTGGGGCTGCGGGCTGAGCGCTTGTGCAGTGAGGACACGGGGTTGGGCCACATACTCTGTCCCCAAGTAGGAGCTCAGCCACCTTGCAGACTGTGTGTGTGTGCACCAGTGCTGCTCAGCTGTGACGCGATGTGACGGAAGGTTGGCGGCCAGGAAGCACAGAGAGGGCAAGGCACCAGTCCCGAGCCTGCACCACCTCCCAAAGGTGCCATCCAGTGATGGGTAGATCCACGCCTGGGGAAGTCAGAGTACTCATAGTCCTTGTGGCCCAGTCGCCTCCAGGAACCCGCTTCTGAACATGGGACTTGGGGGACTGTTTCGATTTAAGCCATAACAAGCACTCCCATCCTTCTGGAACCGTTGCTCCCATCACCCCCTTATTGCCTCTGCTCAATAGCCCTGTGACGTGTCTTACCCCTACTTCACAGACAGGTAATCTGAAGCTCAGAGAGGCAGCAGACTGTCCCAAGGTCACATAGCTTGTCGGAGACAGAGCGAGGACTCTATCTCCATAGCGCCCATTTAGTCCTGTGCTCTGCCCAGCACCTGGGCACGTGGGGATGACCTTCCCTGTGATGAACCTTTAAGAAAGCTCCTTGTTTTTCTTAATTCTGCTGTCTGACCCCCAAGCCCAGCCACAAAGCACAGAGTTAATAAATACCTTCTTCTGATAAGCGCAGCTGTCTGCTTTGCCTGTTTGTCCAAAAATAAACGGTTTTAGCCAAAAACGGGAAGGAGGTGCGAAGTTTCTATGAATCCTTTGGAGGAAGCTGAAGCCACCAGTGCTGTCTTCGTGTTGATTGATGATGGCAGCAGCGATGACCATAGCTGGCTCCCCGCCACCCCAGCCATGTGCTGCCGTCTCCAAAGCCACAGTGCTGCCCCAGAACAGAGCAGGGCCACGGGCTTGGAGCTCGGTGGGCCTGATCTCCCTCTGTCTGTGTCTCCCCAGGTACCATGCCTTGGCTACTCCTCCTCCTGCTGCTGCTAATGGTGCCAGCAGGCCCAACCTCTGCCAGGGAGAGTGCAGCTAAGCACCTCACACTCACCCGGGGACGGAGACAAGTGACCATGGAGGATGACTATGATGAGGAGTATGAAGAATACCAAACAGAACCTCCTGAAACATTCACAGTAGTCTCTGTAGTCTCCGGGGTTATGACTATGGGGGGCCATCAGCGGGCAGGTTCTGTGCAGCCTGGGAGTCCTGAGCCGCCCACAGTGGCGGCCCGCATAGAGCCGGTCACACAGCAGAGTCTGGTCACAGAGGATCTGGCCTCACCAAGGAGCTCTGTAACTGTCTCTAGCACAGAGGCACCATTCAAAAAGGGGGCCCTCTCCATGCAACCAGCAGCCACGGAGGCAGAGACCACACAGCCTGTGCCCACAGAAGCAGAGACCTCAGAGCCTGCACCCACGGAGGCAGAGACCTCAGAGCCTGC